TCCCAGAATTCCCTAGCCAGCCATGCTGGCTGAGGAATTCTGGGAGTTGAAGTCCACGCATCCTAAAGTTGCCAAGGTTGAGAAACACTGGCCTAAATCAATAAAATAGAGTTCAATTATTTCCAGTGGTGTCTGTTCCCTGACCTGGCCTACCCTGAAGGGCTGACACCATCTTTATGAAACCATCTTTATGAAACCACAATTTATGACACCATCTTTATGAAACCACAATTCTTTTAAGTTGAGCTCAACAACTGGTGACTTCACAGACATATCCATGTGGTTATCTTGGCAGCAACATGGCTTGCCTTTTCCAAGGGCATCTTTTTCAACCTCCCAGTCTAGTTTACAACCCTGGTGTTCCCTCAAGGGATCCTATCTAGATAAAACCAGCCCTAAATTGGCCTATTTGGACAAAGTTGGGCAAGTAATGCTGCTCTTGGCAAACCTGAGATTATCCTTCACCTGACTTTGCATGGAATATATTTACAGTATAAGAACAGAAAAAGAGAGTCCATTTAGGGGGTAGCATTTAGCTGACCTTGCCTGCTCCTGAAAAGCTAAGGAGAACCAGATCTATTTAATCCTTGGATGGGAGACTACCAGGAGATCTTAGGATAGTAATTGGCTAGACTAGGACACTAAAAAAAACCATGCTGAAAAAAAAAACAGTACCAAACTTATATTGTTGCCATGAAAATGACGTGGAGGTATCCATAACATAACTAGAATCTGAAGGGACTTTACCAAGAGAGCAGCAAGCTGGGAAATCCTTTATTAAAGTTTCTCCTCCTTCAAAAGACAAGAGAAGGTGCTACTGGAGTATTTCATAACCTTGACACTAAACAACAGAAAAGGAACAGAATTAACTGGGCTAAAAAACAGAATACAAACCTATGAGATTTAATAGGGCTAAAAAGAAATTACATGGATTTTACAGGCAAAATGAAAATGCTACAGTCAGTATGTCTGAACAAGTATAGGAAACATTAAAGACATTCTGGTGAGATTAAAGAGAAATGAAATCAAAGACAGTTTCTTCTATTTTAAAGGAGGATAATACTAGGATTCTAAAACAACTTTCTTCATTTTTGCTCCAAAGATCTCATTGATACTCTGTACTTGAGTTTGCTACCAGCTGGAGTGATTTCCATTTAAAAGTATATTTCTAGTATTGAAAAGACATCGTATTCATTATCGTACGAGGCCACTGTTATGATCTTTATACAGTAGTGCAAATAGACAGTAAGAGATTTGTTTTAATATAGTTTTTAATCCCAAGAGATTTAGGGATGGTATTTGTGGTTTCTGTCTTCATAATCCTATGATGTAGGATTCAGCTCTCTGCCTCTGCGTTAGACTAAGTCTTGTCACTGTGACCTTAAGACATCTTGAATTCATGCAGAAGAGAAATCATAATTCCCTTGCTCCCAGTCCAAAGTCAACAAATCTAAATGCAAAGACAAAGTCACACAGTATTTAGGAGCTGTTTCTAAACAGACATGCATTCTTGGGCAATAGGCTGTGCAGGCTTCAAGGGTTGATTGACAAGCGACTTGAAACACTTGGGAACCTGGAATATACATAGCATCGAGTGGCGGGGGGGAGCGCGAGAAGAGTCCAGATTAAAGGCCAATCCACTCCAGCATTCATGTTGGCGAACCAGATACTCCAAAGAGAAATGGCCAAGCAGAACGACGCTTTCTCTCCCACTTTCTTCAGAAACTAATATGGTGAGTCATATGCAAGTATTGGGACTACTAGCCTGATAGTATCATGACAGAGCAGCAGGGATAAGGCCCAACAGATCCGATTACCAAGACCAGCAGTTGCTCTGTTTACATCCAATGCCGTACCTGAATTGACATATTCCCCCCGGACTCTTTTCCCAGGACCAGGATTCCAAATGTCGTTCCTGAGCAGAATTTAACTAGCCACATACCAGCCATCTCCAGCCCTGTGCCTTCCAGATGTGCTGGAGGACGGGACAACTCCC